TTTTCTTCTTATAAACACTTAATTTACTTAATTCAAACCAAAAGTAAATGTTCTAAGGGACTGATGTAATTTCAAGTTACCAACCCATTAAAGGTCTTATCAACAACAGTACCATTTAAACATTTATCTGGGTAACAGTGAGGAAGATATCGTCGTTATTTCAACTTAAAAAGTGATGAATTCTGTAAATTATGTTCATTGCCTTTCCACTAGTCACTTTTATGGACTATGGACAAATTAAATATTTCAAGGTAGAAAAACTAAAGTTGTTTCCTTGTTTGTTTTTAAATAACTATTTAATTCCTTACAATTACAAAAGACGACATTATGAAACGTCAGCATTTCTGGAGAAGACGACCTTTGTTATGATCTTTCAGTACCCCAGAAAATGCGTCAAATTTGCGTAGATTTTCTGATGCGCTATCTTTAATTAGCAAAGTGTTTGGTAAAAACTATTGATTCTGGTTGTGGAGATAATGAACTAACTGGTTTCCATCATTTTCTTTAACTTTAACACCAACTCCACTGAGTAATAGCAGTGCAGATATCTGTACATTTTTCAGGATCAGCTGATAAATAAAATTCAACAGGTCCATCTCCAAGAGATAGATTGAGGACAAATTTATGTCTTGTAACTCCTTTTACCATTACATTTATCAATAAATGGTGACCAATAGTCCAGCTTTAAAGTTGTCATTTCAACAACATTCTTTGAATAACCTCCAATAAAAAATCCACTATCCATAATGATTATTTTGTTAGGTAAATTTAAAATAAAATATGCTTAGGTGTATTTTTTATTGACTGTATTCACAAATATTAGTTGCATTTTGGGTTGTTAATCGTTTTTGGAAACGCATAATTTTGCTTTTCTATAATATTTGAGTGTAAAATCAGAACTCGATGAATACGAGGTTGCAAAGTCGTGCCAGGTTACCAACAACATTTTATACATTTTACTTATGTCTACTTTACAGTGTTGTATCTTTAAGATTTTTTAAGATGTCGTCTTTCTAGACATCAGATTGAAAAGAAATTCTAAAACCTAGGGGTTTTGTTGTTATGAAACCACTCCTTGTGGATTGTCACATTGTGGATCTTGTTCATTTAAAAAAATACATCAAACATGCAGAACAAATATTCTTAGATTTGTTGGCATAGGCAGTACTGGCATTTTAGTCTATAGTTACTTAATCAATTACTCTATAAACAAAGAGAATAAATAAGTATAGAGTGGAATTAACTCGAAAAAAGTTTAAAAGTTTTATTGTACTGGTTCCATACTGCAGGTGTATTTCTCACATTTGTGCTATATAACCAATTGGCCACTGGAACATCTTTTTTATAGAAAAAAAATTTATTGAAAATTATTTAATTTCTCTAAATAAATTTTCTGACAACCTGTCAGGCATTCCCGAGCTCGTATCAGCATAAACTTTTTAAAAATAAGATAAAATAACGGATATGTCCAGGGATCATACTGTGTTATTGCGATGTAAAATAAGATAAAATAACGGATATGTCCAGGGATCATAATGTGTTATTGCGATGTAAAATAAGATAAAATAACGGATATGTCCAGGGATCATAATGTGTTATTGCGATGTAAAATAAGATAAAATAACGGATATGTCCAGGGATCATAATGTGTTATTGCGATGTAAAACTTCGTATAATTTGTGAACATGAATTGCACACACACCACTTAGAACTCCTTTTCAGACTCAAAGGGACTGAACAAACTATTTCCCAATATGTACTGAAGCTGTGCAAGGGCCGCTGATCAATTGAACGTTTTAAATTTTTTTTTTGGCGCTGCATCTTGAATTAATGATTTTATTCAGGAAACTATATGATTTTTCATAACGAAAAAGGGGGAATAAAAGTTAAAATTGGTCTTAAAAACATTAAAATACAAAAATTTGGCGAACAAAATTGTCAATTGTAAACTGTACTACAAACTGTACTGCAAACTGTATACTGTAAATTGTAAACTGTATACGGGTAAACTGTACTGCAAACGGTATACTGTAAATTGTAAACTGTACTGGTAAACTGTACTGCAAACTGTATTGTAAATTGTAAACTGTTCTAGTAAACTGTAATAATAAAGTGTAATCTGTAAACTATAAACTGTAAACGATACTGTAAACTATAAACCGTAAAAAAAGTGAAAAAAGGAAAAATATATTGTCGGTCGTTCTTTTTTAAAGAGGTCTCCATTTAAGGAGGGTCATGCCCGATTCTTAACTATACCCTAGAAACCTTTTCTGTTCAATAATGTGGAAGGAAACGCCGTTTTTCTAACTTTCTAACTTTCCAGCAGTAAAATGTGAAATTCACTGTTGTAGAGAAACCAGAATTTAAGAAAAAGATATACTTCTGTGTGTTCAGATATGCCACTTTATGATTGAAGGGTCACTTGAAAGTATGAAGACTGAGGTTTTTAATCGTTTTTAAAAGATCGAAATACGATCGTTTTTCGGTTTTTTTTTCTGAAAACATTTCGCTAATGAATTTAACCCATTAGTGACGAGAAGGTCAATTTTGACCGGGCGAGGGGTTTTTTTAAGTGACTTTATTCTTAAATTAAATGTTGTCCTGTCTTTTCCTGCGCTTTCCTAAGGATTCCCTGTTTTCAAAACAAATTTTATATTTGACGTAAATTCAAAATTGCGGTTAGTCTCGTCACTAATGGGTCAAGTTTTATGACCATACATTTTAATTTCTTTTCAAGTAAGATAAGTTTATGAATGTTGTCTTAAATCCTAATTTTTTTAATCGAGAGAAATAACCTCAAATGTTTTCTGACCCAAGGGATTTATGCATGATCTAAGGATTTTCCCACAAAAAAATTATTTCATCTTTAAAAGTTCGTTAACGATCGTTAATGAAAAGTCGTCGTTAACGGTTTACTTATTTGACGATTTAAATCGATTTTCATTTTTTAGAGTTTGGATGAAAAACTAATTGTCCGAGTACACTCCTGAGCCTTCTTCAACCAAATTTTTTCGATTAAAATTAATCGACTGTGTTCTAAAAGAAAGAACGAGAGAAGCGATTTGAATCAATAGGCTTTAACAAACATAGGATACTCCAGACCAATCCAGGGGAAATTAGTTCCAAAACTAAACTACCTTGGCCTATTTTGGAACTAATGTCCCCTGCAATCTGAACAAATTATTCATTTTCGAATATTGGTTAAAAGAACCTATATTTCAAGGGTAGTATTCTTCCGTCTGGTTTTGTGTAAAAGATTTGACAAAATTAGTAAAAAGGTTGTTATCAGAAACATTTCTTTTTCCCAACAGTTCTATGGGATTTTCTTAAAAAAATTTTTTTTCAACTTTTAAAGTTTGCGGAGTATTTTTGAATACTTAATGTAAGCCGTGTGACATGGAGAAATGAGTATTCATTTAGATGTCACCAATTCTTCTCAAACAATTTAAAATCCAAGAGAATACAACTAGAAACATGGTCGGAAATAAAAAAGTGAGAAAATTAAAAGATTGGTTTTACAACAAACATGAAAACAACTTTTTTCGTTGAGGATTTTTAAGAAGTCTTCCCAGGTCTGGAATTATAAATAGGAGAGGTTAAGGTTTCTTTAAATTTTATCTTTTTAGCATATTCGAATAAATTACATCTAATCTATCCGTTCAAATAATTTTATTGCAGAGCACCAGAGACGAAACTTTAGACAGTAAACACACAATACCGAAACCGGGGACAAAAAACCGGATTAAATATTAGGATTAAGCAGTTAAATACCTGCAATTTGTTAGAAGTATTTCCTAACCTCACTTATAGCTATGTTTTTGTGGTAAATAAACTTACGTTACAAGTTACAACCACTTAAAGCAAACCCGGTTTCGTTCATCAATCCTTTTTTAAGTTTGATACTAAGGTGGGCATGTCTAAATTTTACATTTAAAACATATTACATGCATTAGAATAATTGCAGTTGCTGCATATACTTTTATATACTTTTATATACTTTTATATACTTTTATGTGCTTTAATATACTTTTATATACTTTTATATACTTTTATATAGATACAATGAAGTTACAGAATAAATTTGTTTATTTTTTTACTGATTATATAGAATAGATACATAACTAGCTTGGGAACCCAGCCTTGCCCTGAAACTAATCTTTCCCTTTTAAGAATTCGATACAATTTTAAACCTAGATATAAGAACATTCTGATGGTTCTAGTTCCCTTATCAACATTTTCCGAGCAGCAAATTGGTTCAAAGGTTGATGCGAGGGGAGGAGGGCGAGGTATTGATGCGAAGGGAGGAGGGCGAGGTGTTGATGCGAGGGGAGAAGGGCGAGGTGTTGAAGCGAAGGGAGGAGGGCGAGGTGTTGATGCTAGAGGAGGAGGGCGAGGTGTTGATGCGAGGGGAGGAGGGCGAGATGTTGATGCGAGGGGAGGTG